AACATTTCGATCTGGACCTATATAGTGTGGCGCTGTTCACCTTGAAAGGAGTGGGGGGGGCACTTTTGCTTGTTCCTGTTCAATCACACGCCTCACAGTGGCGAGACGTGAGAACACTTCTCACGTGCCAACGAAAATCCAGCTATTGCACGGCTCTACAGAAATTTTTTGGTTTCCAGAGGAGACAACAGATCGTAGGGAACTAGCAAAACCGTCTCATGAAGACAAACTGCGCTAGCACTTTTTCCCAAACAAAAGAAGTGATCCACCCACACCGTGACTCCTCCCCATAAGCTTAGGTGGAAATCCTCAGCCACAATTCCCTAGGCACTCAATATATGAAACAAGTGAAAGAAATTATGTAAAAAGCTGGAATGGTTGTTCGAAATCACGGAGAACGGCTCGTCATTCGAGTTCCTGGTTATCCTAGCATGCACGATTAACATCAACATATTGGACTGCGGACCTCTGTTGGTCAAGCGCCCCGTTTTTTCAGTGGTTTCCGCTCATAAATTTAGTGCTTTTCTAGATTTAGGTGATGTTCATTCCGGAGTACGAGGCTGCTACATCAAGTTTCGATGGCACAAAATTCGCGAAGGTTATTCGTATGAACAACATCAGTAGGTGGCTTTTATTTCGTAGCTCATTCATGGTTGATAACGTCGCAATCAGTCGGGGCGTAGCAGGAGGGGCCGAATGAGTCCGCATCTGGGACCTTGCTCTCGGTGAATGATTCAGGAGGAAAACTAGCATGGAAACGGCATAGAAATACCGCAGGTGGTCTCATTCTACCCCTGAAAAAGCCCCGAATAAGTGGGACGTTATCAACTGCACTTGTTTTGCCGTTCTTCTTCTGCTTGTTATTGCTATTTGAGATAAATAAATGTATACTGACAGTGTTGTCCATCAAGATGCTGAGCAGTTGAAGGCGTGAATCCCGTATGCAATTTAAGGCCCGACGGGCTGGTGGTGGGCAACCTGGTGATCGCTGCGCGAAGTATGAGGCCGCGTTGTCATACTTTGGGGCAGCGACACCAAAGCGTTGCGCGAGCGTTCGGACTAGTGTCAGAGACCTAGTGAAGTAAATAGGATTTGGATGATCTAGCGGTGTGCGCAGAGTCCCACCACCGTCTGCCAACGTGTGCCAACGTCTACCAGCGACCAGAGCATCTCTAAGATGAGCATGAGTGTCGATCTAGCGTCTGCCAGAGTCTACCAGCGACTAGTAGCATCGGGAAAGAGTGTTATGGGGTTGATAGAAAGGTAACAGACAATTGGTACTCCTACCAGCAGTCTGCCGGTGTTCGCTGGTAGACGCTGGCAGACGCTAGATTGATACCTACACTTCCCTAGCCCTTGAGACGCTGCTGGTCGCCTTGGCTGGAACGCTAGCTCCACGTTGGCAGACCTGGTAGACCCTGGCAGACAATATCTTACCCTCCGCTAGTCGCTGACGCGCTGGAGGACGGCGCGCACAGGCTGGTGGACGCTATGCTTTGAGAGGCCACTGTAAGACGCTTTGGAAGCTGAGGCAATGGTGGCTGTAGACGCATGCCAGCGAATAAAAGGTTCCTTCACTCTAGGATATTTAAAGTTTGGTAACCCCAGAGGATCGAAAGCCTCTAGGCCAATACGCAGAGCCTCGAGCTGAGTGTGAAAGGAGAGGGAGCATGGAATTGCATTCCACGGTGAAAGATTGCTATGCACAGACATTCTCCAGGTTCACGATATGACGATGGATATGCTTGGATTGGACGATGCTTTCATGGGCCAGGCATCTTTGGGCCTCTTGGAAAGACTGGACTTCGAATACACCCTTGTCCATATGTGCAAAGGTAATGATTTTCTCTTATAACCCTCGTCTACTGAAAGGATACACTTCTCCCCATCCAATTGCATGGTGGCGGGGGGAAAGGTATGCGTACAAGCCCAACTAGCAACTTTGAATACGCAAAGTAGCCAAACAGCCCCCACCCCCCCATGTATAAGCATTTTTTATGAACTTATGAAGTGCAAAACGGGGCCGTACGTGTGCGTTTTCAATGACTTGGAAACAGTCGGACCTGTGCAAGAGCAAGAACAGGCTGTAATTTCCGGGTACCAATAGGCAGCTAATTTTGCGCAGTGTTGAAAGTTCCGTTTATTACTAGGGCTAAGTTTACTCAGTTTTTCAATAGTTGCTAAATATAGTAGAAGCTGTGATTTAGCGCTGATGGCACGCCGCGAGGAACTGGAACCGCTCAAAATAGCTACGGATTCGACGCCAGCATTTGCTGAGCAAATTGATTTCTGTGGAATCGGTGTAATTAGGTGCGTTAGTCGTTCTACATTGAAGGCATATTTTAAGAGCTGTTGAGTGGAGTGGCATCACTGTCAACATCGTTCAGCCAGTGGTGCAGAAATGCAGCGATCTCAACGAGTACGCTAAAAGTCCACTCCGCTGGAGGGTTCCGCCCGCTGACGGAATTTCCGCTTCCGGACCTGACAGCCTCCGAGTATATTAATTAGAACAAGATGCTAGCACGGTGGAACTAATGTAACGGTGTCGTCTGTGGTCCCTCTCCTTCCCCTCTCCCTGGCTATATTAGGGAGAACGTACTTAGTGAGCATGAGCGCGCCGCGGGTTCTTCTGTAATGGTGAGTCGTACCGCTCAACTACTAGCAAGAACATGACAAATAACACACAGGCAAAGCCTTGCAGAGCCGAAATGCTGTGCTGCCGCGTGTCCAAGCTAAACTATTAGCAGAGAAGCAGTTTCAGGCCTTTGTTCTGTAGATTTTATTACTAGTATCTTTTTTCAGATATCTCGGAATCAAAAATCTACTATGGATCTCAACCACACCCTAATGGATGCAGTCAGCTATAACTTGGGTCAGTTGAATAGATTATCGGAGCATCTCTGCTGCTTGTGTTCTTCCAGCTATTCGAGCATCTCGTAGAAGCGGTGTGTATACTGTTTGGAAAATCCCATTGAGGGTTGTATTTGGTCGCTGGAACACGTTGTATTTGGTCGCTGGGAAAGAGCCGGAGGGGGGGGAGGTGTTAGGGCAGGGGTGAGGTAAATTCAGGAGCAAGAAGACGAAGTGAACAAGAACCTTTTCTAATCATTGGGTCATACCGGCTCGCACGGCAATCCTTATATGTAAGTCAAACCTCTTATCCACCTCAGGTGCGAAATCATGGCGCTCCACAGGGTAGCCACACGCCTTACCGTATTCGAGCGCACTCTCTCACTGCTTTTCGTTCTCTACGTCTGACCGCGTGTTCGCGGCAGGATTCTACCATCGACGCAAGTACTGCACCTTGAAAGTACGTGATGGTATTGGCGGAGCAGGGAGACGGCAACCAGCTATCACCTCCAGCCCTCCCAAGCACCTTTGAGCAGAGAAAGGAGGAAGCCACCCGCGGCTGCAGTCGCATTCACCTCGCACATGGCAAGGGTCACCCTTGGAGGTGAATGTGCAGTTTTCCTTTAGTTACTTTTCTTGCACATTCAGGAGTCCCAGCGCCACCTTCCTATGTGCCGACGATAGAAGAAAATGACAACGGCGATACGATGACTTTCTGGCAGGAGAGCCTACAATGTCTATATGTATATAGGAACTATTCTAGTTCATCGCAAAGGCACTGATATGACCACTGAGGCAAGTTGTTTTTCTCAAGAATTTGATCCAAACCTTGTGGTAGAAGTTAATGGGTTCCGTCCATCTAGTGTTGTCATCTGTTACATTTCACATCTTGTAGTTGGAGAGGGTGTGTCTACGGGCGATTGTGAGAAGGGCTTCACATTGGATTTCTGTCTGTTGAGGTGACTAACGTCCTCGGAGCTGAACAAGTGGAGAATTTCGCGCTGCTTACTCTCGCTTTCACACGCTATGTCTACGGTGGTGATCCATGGAAACGACTGGCCTGCGACGCGGTTGGGAGCGCGCCAGGGCTGCCTTGATCCAACAATAATGTCTCCCTGAGTCCGCTACAGTTGGCGTGAAAACTGCCCTTTTTGCGCTCTAAGCCCCTCCGCCGGCTGCCCTGTCATGCTGCCCTATTCTTCGCAGCGCATCCACCGCCGATCTTTGACTGGAGACGCCCTTGCCAGCACCCGGTAATATGATTGTGGGTGGAATTCAGAATGACTATGTAGAGTTTGTTAACGCGGACAGCATATCTTGAAGCTTTGTCTAGGTGGTTGTACATTCTTGTAGGTTATTGAGTGCACTGCCTATCTTTAATCCCTCTTCCGCTTTTCAATTCTGGAAATCTGTCAGAATGGAATTTGACGCAGTAGTCTGCAGCAATTCGGTATTATGGGCTAGATGACGTTCAGGAAACCCGTAAAGTTCAGGAAGAAGTAAAAGCCGATTGTGACTAAGCCTATTAATTTTGTTGATCTTACGAGCTCTTCGCCTTTTTCCAACCGTTTTTCTCCAACTTGTGCGAAAGCGAAGATAAGGAGCTAGGATACGCCGTGGATGAGAAATCAATCCGGCGAAAAGCGTTCGTTGTTTTGTTTCCCAAATGGAACAGCATAAAAGTGAAAGGTTACAGAGACTTTGAATTTCTCCCTGGTCCTCCAATTAGTGGACCCCTTCAAGTTTTTGGAGTTAAGGAGGAAGGGTTGGACTTCAGCTAACGGGGATCGTAGTCGACCAAACTGTCTCAGGTGTGGGTGCCGTGCTAAACCATCCGTTTTGCCACGCCCAGTGTATGTTCTTCTGAAATCGCAGTCTTGAAATATCGGTCTTGGTTCACTACACATGATGTAGTACTTTCAAAACATCCAAAGAGAGCATTATTCAACACCAACTTTCCATTTTATATCCAATTTTTTCGTTTTCATTTCTCGTTTCACATGCAATTGTTATTTTTCATTTTAATTTTTCTGCCTGTGTTCTCAGTACAAAGTCCATGTTGAAGGTCTTTTCGACAATTCGATCCGAATTTCCCGAATGTTCGAGAAATCGCATCTAATGCGAGCTTATGTTTCGTAAATGCTGATGAAATGTTCGATTTTCCACGACCGACCATCCATAAAACGATCTACATTGGTGGCCTGGGTATGACTGAACCGAAACCACTCGACGAGGTAGGCAGCCTCCTTCAATGTTTAACTATTAGGATTTGTTCGAAAGGAATGCGCGTTTGAGTGTAAAAGGTTTATTTATAAAAACGAAATTAAATTCAAGGCCATCTTACTAATTCCATTACTAGCAAATGACTGGTGGCCGAACCTGTACGGCAAACTTTGCCAAAAGAAGCCACTTTCACACACTTTCCCGAGCTCGGTGTGTCGTTAAGGGTCCGCCGCGAGAGGAAATGTGGTCAAGAAGACCTCTTTTTGCCAGTTTTCTCAAGCTCGGTGTTGTCGCGCTGGTCCGGCGGCCGCCTGCCCCTGTGAGCCGAGTGGTCGATTAGGTTCCACCCAAGTGCGTCGTTAAGGACTTTCTTTGATAGTCTTCCACATATCAATATCTGGCTCGCATTCGAAATTTTTGGTCGAGCATTTTCTAAACTTTTTTTTCTCTAAAAAAACAAGGTAGACATAGAAAAAATATATCAAAAGATGCGCAATAAAAACCTCTCTCTAATGGACAAAACTGTTTTTCAAAATATATCCTATAGTAGAAGATGAAATAAAGTTAGATCAATATTGTCATACGCGCATCCTTTCCGAACTAACCTAATATATTTCTATATCATAGATGATGGAGGTACGCGGTTTCACTGAGCAGTAACGCAGATGCGTTTTTTCTGTGGGATCTTTCCGTTCTGAAGGCATGTTGTCACCCTATCTTTGTTGCTTCGACATGAATAATGCCTCAATACGGCAAGATTCCAGGAATAACGCAACCGCCGCATCCTTTGAATGAAGTCTGCAGCCTCCGTCTTCTGGACGTAGATCGTAGCTTTATGCACATTTCTGTTGCAGAAATTTTCCATCTTGATGAAGAAAGGCAAAACGAAAGGTGTGTCAATCATTCGTTCCCCGGCACGGCGTCCATTTCCAATGCTTTTCTCTAAGCCACCAAGCCAGGGTTCGCTCAGTATTCTAAATCGGCGGTAGTTCTTCGTTGATTTATCATTTTCATTTTGACGATTCCAAAGGTTGCAATTAAATATTTTAGTAGTTTGCAGTTTAGTTAATTCACAGTTTACTATTTATGTGCACTCACCTCCATGGACTCTAATCCTTGGCATTATGAGGTGAGAGGGTCACAATAGCGTACAACTTTCCACGCCTGAAAGAGCACCGAAATGTGGTTCGATGGTAGAGGCATCCGGATAGTGTCTCCCTGAACCTGACCGCGCTGCCGTACTGCTAGCCACACGCCTGTTCATAGCCGAACGCGCCACGCCCTCTCACTTCTAGCTGTTCTCTGTGGCTGCGTACGTGTTTCGCCACGGGACCTCGGCAAATGCTGCACCTTGTGGAAAAAGGGGGGGGGGGTGGGACAACGGTGAGTGGAGAGCGACACCAGTAGCTCTACTTTTCTGCCAGTCCCTTTTCCATGCAACTAATGACGAGGAAGCAGCACGTTATGCAAGCTGCTCTATGCCTTTCACAATCGCACATGAAGACGAATCTCCCTAAGATGAGGTAACGGTGTTTGGCTTTGACCCCCCGCTGAGAAGTGGCCTGGCAGTACTGGCCGCATTACTGACTCCTCGATCGGAATGCGTGGAAGCGTTGACTATTTTGTGTTCGAAGGCGCGAGAAGTGCCAGACGATGGCCCAGACTAGGTATTTTCTTCTGGATTGATTTTTCCAACAACTAAATATGTTCACGAGTTTAAAATCAGATCACCTGTATCACCTGTATCACCTGTGCTCCCGTTGATCATCGAGTTCCTCGAGCGGGCGCCAGTAACGTCTCCCATTCGTCCCTGCAACGTGCAAGAGTTGCCCAATGAACTCTCTCTGCTCGAGGGACACTATGAACTTCATACCAGAGGCTTTCAGAAGCCTTTCGCGAAGAAGTCTAAGCGCATCGGCATAGGCAGTCCCGTCGCTAAGCGTTCGCTGACCATCCCACTGAATCACATTCGGTGATCGCTGTCTGGTCGCAGGCGGTCGTCCTTCGAAGCGCATTGACGTGCACCGCTACCTATCTTCGATCTTGGGCAAATGCGGTGGTGGTCTTTGATGTCTTCGTCCTGCAGAGGTGCGAGCTGCCGGATTCACCTGCTCTGTAGCGGGAAACTCCGAGCATCGCCCTTTCGATGGCGCGTTGAATAACGCCGACCGCATGCTCATCCTGCTTTCGTAGAGTCCAAGTCTCTGAGGCGTACGTCAAGGCAGGAAGGACCGCGGAATCGAAGAGGTGGGCACGGAGCTTGGTGTTCTTCGTCTTCTTCGCTACTCCCTCGATGTTCTTGAAGGCTCCCCAAGCCGCTCGCTTCCTCCTGCTCAGCTCTAGATAGTCTATGCTACTATCGCAGAATGCGATTGGACGTCGCTACACAGGCAAACTCATTTTTTTTACTGGTCTTCGAATAAAACTCGATTAGTTCTGAAAGACCCACGCTATGGTTGAGGAATGCTCGAGGCTTCGGGAACGTATTTGAGTCGTTATAGAGGCCTGGTGGTGTTCCCGGTACTAAGCTCGCCAAAAACAGATATGAATCCCGTTCATATACGTTCTAGCATGCATGAGAGGGTGAATAGAAGTGGGACTGCGGGGTGATATTGTCGCCATCTCCGTCGAGTGCTGTATCAGCGGGCAGGAAATAAACCGCTTTCGAGCATTTCCTACCATTGGGCTGCTTGTCTCTAGGCCGAACCACTACTGGTAGAAAACGCCGCCACTTCCGGCCATTCCACGCCTCCTCACACTACCTGGCTGAGTGCGACTTTACTAGAGCTAGTGACGGGTGAGGAAATAATGAAGTCGTTCTAAAAATATTCTAGCACTCCACCGATGGAGCAAGGGGGTGGTCTGTCTCCGAAGCTTCTGGTGTGTGAATGAAATCCTAACTATAACACGCACCACAGCACGCTTGCTATGCTCGTTCATGTGGCTATTTACTGGGTATCATTCGGTAAGTCGCAAACGGTGGCACAATATGGAGACTTGATGTAAAGAAAAAGTAAAGCAAGCAAGGTGACCGTTTCAAAGAACGAAAATCAGTGAAAGGCAGCAGGCACACAAAAGCGGGTTGGCTTGAGTGCGCGGCGCATCCCTCCAGCTTTTTTTTCAGCTTTCAACTTACATTTTGTTTGCAGGTGACACCACTACAAGCACCTTTGTGGAAGGCCTGAATAACTGCGACCTAGTTGAATGGCTACCACAGAAAGATGTTCTAGGTTTGTGAGAAAGATGTTGCTCCGTAGGGGGTTGGAAGACGAGCTGCTAGACCGGTGACTCCAACTGGTCGTACTTATTGTCATAACGTTTTTTTTTCTAGCCCATCCAAGACTGCGATTATTCGTTATGCATGGTGGTATAAATGGTTTAATGGAGGCATTACTGAGGGCAGTACCGGTAGTGGTTGTTCCCATTTTCGCTGATCAATTTCGAAATGGAAGAAACGCTGAGAAACGAGGAGTAGGAAAGGTACGTCTAGGTGTTCTTTCATAGTGTACTGCGTTGGGCACAAATAGTAGATATAATCGTGGTGGTCTCAGTGCGCGCAGTCTCACGACTCGGTGGGAGCGCCCAGACAAGGAGACATGACGTCGTAGCTCGGACCGTCGGCCTCTGCGATTACTTCTGCCCCAACAACGCGCTATGTTCTAGAAGTAGGCAACTCTAAGTAGTAGATTTGAAGCCTGGCGTAAAGAAGAAATTCACATGTCTTTCCATGGGCGCTTCCCCTACTAAAGCGGCAATTGTGGTAAGGTGTTGTCATATCGTCGCAAACAACGGCAATGCGTAAAGCTGGAACTGCAGTACTGATGACTAATCGTGAAGCGAAGAATGCGAAGGATGGAATACCGTAAAAGCCGCCGGGGCCCCAAATAGGACATTGCTTAGTTCACAAGAGAAAGAGAAAGGAGAAAGTAGTTCACAAAAGGATCCAAGGAGAGGGCATAACAACGAGCGAAACCACGGTCACCACACGGGGCGGAGTTGCACGCGCTCAAGTGGGGACACCTACCAGCTCGCGCCCTGACAGTCGTACTTTATAACCTTTAATGCGAAATCGATGTACGGTTATCGTCGTCGTCCCAAACTACTTTTTGCTATGCACTGGGTATTGCAGAATAAATCTTCAAGGTGTCATTCTTGCAATTGACTGAGAAACGGACTCGTTGAGTTTCGTGTGGTCGCCGAAAGGATGGATGAGCCAACAGGGTGATGGAATTAGCTGGTTACCGCGTCATCATGGTCCCTAATATCGCATTCAAATGCCTCCGATGCTTTAAAGGCAGTTGGCATGATAATTTGGTACTCGCCCCGCACTGCTAAAAAGGCGCTATATAGTGGGGAAAATTGCGAAAAAACGAAGTGAAACGGTCAAAAACCTGCGAAGAAAAGCCTTCGTCTTCAATTCAAAAAGCAGTTTCGGACGAGTTTCCCGTAGGCATCTTGCCAATAACCGCTACGGTAGGTACGGCTGCACGTATGTACTCATATATCCATGCAGCACCAGCCGCTTCATACCAATCCCTTCGCTTCATATTTCACTTAGCAAATGAAGCAGTACGAGCATCAGGTACGGTCGTCCATTTGTGGGCGGGCTGCACATCGCCTGCTCAGGGTCGCGGAATTCCGTCCTGCCAGGCGTATTAATCCTACTCGTCTTGGGGATTTATCGTGCCAACTGCCTTTAAAGACACATGGTACGCTCACACACATTGAGGGTGTATGTGACTATCAGCCCCCAGCTGTCGATGTGTCGTGGTTTCCCCGCCCGAAACTGCACGGGGTTAGAGTACAGGGCCGTGGGAAAGTCTAATTCGTCCATGCTCCGCCCAAAATGCAACTTGCGGCGCAGACTCCCTTTATGCTAACAGCCGTCCGCGCGGCGCGTGTCGCGCGCAGCTCTCTTGGCTTTTTGCCAAGTCCTGTAATTGCGCTTTGGAATACAAGTAAAACGCAATTTCCTGATGCGGATAACATTAGAGAAACTGTGCTGCTTCTGCAATATCCCTCGGATCCTCCATTTCCACGAAAATGAAAATAAAAACGGCCTGAGCGTCCCACTCGTTAGTTTAAAGTATTTCTATGGCTTTGGAGTCGGATTCGAGCCGG